TTGGGCGTGGCCGGGTCCCGGGAGTTCCGGGACCGGGAATCCGACACTGGAAGACTGTGAGGTGGGGAAATAGTATAATGAGGCAGAGGTCCACGGAAGAGGGCTGGATCAGACTTGGCAGGCATCCCCCGCTGTCAGTGGGCGACCCTGACCTTACTATTGAGCCTGACCCTAATTTGGACCCTGTCTGTAACCCCTGCTATCTCCTACCCTGGACTTACTCCAACCTAAGTGAAATGTAACTCCGATCGGGACCCTGAGGCCCCAGACATAGAGACCTTCTGGCAGCCAACCCTGACCCTTGCCCTCACCCAGATGCAGGGACTGCAGAAGAGGCTTCTGGGATTGCTTGTGGCCTCACCCAGCTGCGCGCCTTCGGCAGCATCATGTGTGACCCACATATTTCGACAGGAGAATAACAGAGCCCTCCGTAACTGGGCGCCCTCCTCCTGAAGCGGTCATCTTCCGGGACTCGACCCCTCTTCTCTGGGACTCCCGCACCACCCAGGACAGGTCCCAAATCCAGAGGGGGATCAGAGCAGGGTTAGGGAGTGAATCAAGGTGGAAAGGCTTGCAGGATGATTATGACTTTGGACTGGGCAATTCTGGAGAAGCCCCCAGTCTGGAGGGCTTCCCCCAAAGAGGGGGCAATTGTAATGGGCCTTGAAGCATGAGGAAGAGTTTGGAATTGGTGAGTTTTTCCAAGAGGACTTGCAAGTGGGCAGAGAAAGGGTGCAGAACATTCTTTGGTGGGGAAAGATGAAGCCCGAGCAGTGAGTGGAAGTAGATCGGGCTGGAGGCCCTTTAAAAAAGGGCTTGGAGATAGGAGGAGGGGGCCCATGTGGGGCAGATGAAAGGGCAGAGTAGTAGGCTGCAATGGCTGTCTGTCCATCTTCTCAGAACACAACAGACGATGGTCAGCCCTCTGGACTCAGGAGGGAATGTGGCGATATTAGCATGTGAGGGAAACTGAGGAAGGGAACAGAGATCCTGGGAGGCTTGTCCTCCCCACACAGCAGTTTCCCTGTCTGTGACATGGGTAGTTTGCACCCCTAGCCTGGAAACAGATTTTTCTTTGAAAAAACAAAAACTGGGGTTGGTGGGGATCAGGTTTCCTGCCTCTCCCACCCTACCCTTGTTGGCCTTCAGTGCCCAACACCAGATGTTCGGGTGTCCCAAGGACACCCCAGGGTGACCCAGGTCAGGCTGGGGGCTTCTGCCTAGGCTCCAAGGCACAGAATGAGTCCTGCAGTGTGTGGAGGTGGCTAGGGAGCCCTGGGCCCCTCGAGGGCCGCTCTGTTTACCTGAGACCGCCCGCTTGCCTCTGATGCAACAGGCAGGCTCTGGTTACATGAGGGTGGCAGCTGGAGCAGCCCTGGGGGCAGGCAGAGCGGAGCCAGGGGCTGCCCACCGGGGGGCACACCCCCTGCCCCTCCCACCACTGGGGCTCCCTTCTGTGCTCTCGCCCCTGCCATGTGGCCCCCTTCCACCTCTCTCGTTCCCAAACCCCCTTCCCAATCCGGTCCAGACCCTCTCCCATCATTCACACTGTTTCCTATAATGGCTCCTTCTTGCCTTTACCCTGTTCCTGTCCTATACACGTGCCCATAACTGGCTGTGTTAGCCTGTGTGGACCCACATCCTCCCCTGGGGCAATCAGGAACCCTGACCTCAGTCTTTTCTGATGAGGGGACCCTCTTAGGAGCTGGAGTAAGAGACTGGGGGTTGAAAGGGAGATTTCAGGGGAGAATGGAATCTGGGAAGAGGGCCTGGTAGATGGGGAAGGTGGACTTGGGTGGGAAGGTAAGGGGTGTAGAAGCTGCTCCCCCCAAGTCTCCCTTCTCCATATCCTCTCCCAGAATGTCAGCAGGGGAAGCCTTTGACGGATCCTCCGTGGTAAGGGCAGTGTGGTTCGGTGGGTAGGGCTTCAGGGACCATGGGTTCCCACCAGTTCTGACTCCCGCTCGCTGTGTGGCCTCAGGCCAGTCACTTCACTCCTCCGAGCCTGTGTGCTCATGTGAAAAATGGGGACAGTGGTAGTGCCTCCTCAGGGGTAGTAGTGTTTCAAGCTCCATCTCTAATACCCCCTCCTCCTCCAAAAGCCTTCATTATCCCCCTTCCATCTGGTGTTCTGACACCCCCATCCCTCTTCCCACCTCAGCGCTGACACAGAGGTTCAGAAATGCCTGTGTTCATCGTCTCCGGGAGTCTGGGGTCTCCTTGCGATCGGGCCGTGTGTTGTGGTAGCACAAAAGGGGTGTTTCATGGGTTTCTTGAAAAACTGGAGAGGTTCTGAGTAGTCTAGGGGTCTGGAGACCAACCTTGGGGCAACCAGAGGCCTTGATGAGGGATGAGGTGGGGCTGGCAACGGGCTTCCCAGGGTCAGGACCCTCTGAGAGGGCAGAGCAGGAGTGAAATAAAAACCAGGATTTGGATCAGGGGCTAAAAATACAAAGTCAGAATTCATGTCTGATTCCTGTCCTGACCACCGTGGACCAACTGCAGGCAAGTCATTGCCCTCTCGGGCCTCCTTTTACTCCATCCAAAGATCTGAAAGCGGGGTTCCACACGCTACCTAGGGAGCTCTTCCAGGTCACCTCCACTCTCATGGGCGCTAGGATCCCGACTTGAATGTCCCTTGGCGCAAGGAGGTCGTTTCTTAGTGAGCCAGGGAATGCTTCCACCCTGGTGAATAGATAAGGCCGCTAGTGCATGGGGGTAGGTGCGAGGTCTCTCTGGGTAGTGGCCTCTCGAAGTCTTAATTCACTTTCTGGATAACTGGAGCAAGGACTCATGAGGTGAAAAAGGGCTGAGGGTCACGTTGCACTCTTCAGGATCTGCCAAGACTGCAGACAACGACAGCTCAGAGGCGGAGAGCCCCGCCAAGGCTTTGCCTCTTGCGCCCCCTGGCGGTCATCGGGGGTGGGACATTCGCCAGGTGGTGGTTTAGCCGCTAAGTCGGGTCCGACTCTTCACTGTAGGCTGCCAAGCTCCTCTGTCCATGGGCTTCTCCAGGCAAGAATACTGGAGTGGGTTGCCATTTCCTTCTCCAGGTGATCTTCCCGACCCAGGGATCAACCCGGGTCTCCTGCATTGCAGGCTGATTCTTTACCAACTGAGCTATGAGGGAAAACCCAGGGACGTTCGCCAGGAGTGAAGGGCAAACTGGCCATATGAATGAAAGGCAAAATTAATCACACCCGCCGGGGCGCACAGGACTTGGGGTGGTGGTGGGATCTGACAACTCACAGTCCCGCACAGATCTCTTTGGAAGTACTGTTAGTCACTGGTTGAGGTCGTGTTCAGAGGCTGTGGGTGACATGGAGCCTCGGAAGATCTAGGACACCCCATGACTGCTCCCCACTAGCTCACTGGGCCTGAACCATCCAAGGTTGGCCCTGCAATTCATGAAATTACATCACTAAGCTGACCGTCTAGGGGGCTTTGAGCTCTGGGCCCAGGGTTGGTCTGTCTGGCTCACCAGGGCATCCCCTGGGGTAGACAGGTCCTAGTTCAGACAGATCAGTGTTTGCTGGATAAATGGCTTCATGGTAGGAGAGATGGACAAGAGGTGGTTCAGAGTGGATGAAGAGAGAGTGTCTCGGGGGGCCAACTACATACCAGTCCAGGCCTACAATAGTGAACCTGAGGCTCCTCCCTCTAAACTGACTTAGGGCAGAGGGAAGACAGAATGGTGGCACACAGACCCCCAGGATACCCCAGGAGAGAAGAGGGAGGGCTGATCGTTTCCTGATGGCGGGAGGCAGTTATTTCTCAATACCTCCAGGGTCCCTGAACCTCCTCCCAGGCCTGCAGGCCCCTCTACAGCCCTGACACCCCACCGGGACCCACTCTGCCCCCAACCCCTCCTAACCACTTCACAGGGCCAAGCTGGGGGCTGTTCCCAGAGAAGTGAGCATGGGCCCATCCTGGCTGCACCCTCAACAACTCCATTCTGACCATCCTGACAGACTTTGCTGGGCACTGTGTTGGCACACAGCTGACCCTGGAGCCATGCAAACCAGGGCCCTGATCTCCCAGGCTTGGAATCCTTGGGGATCACTGTGGGATGTTCTCAAGTCAGCAGAAACAGACTCAGATCAATCTTGGCAAATGCAGTGACTTTAGGGACTCATGAAACTGAAGAATTAAGATTTTTCTAGTGTCAGGTACACTAGATCCAAGGTCCCAGGCAATGTTCTTAGGTTCCAGGTTCCATCTGCTGAGCTTACCAACCCCAGAAAGAAGATGGTACTTTTTGTACTTTTCCAGCAAAATCTTCAGAGAAGACCTCTCGTTGGATCACGTGCCCATCTGAAACCAAGCTCTGTGACCTGGGAGATGGGGCGTTGATTAGCCAGGCCAAGGTCCCACACCTACCCCTGGCATCAGGGTGTCTTCTCTATATGGCCTGAGCTTGGGGTGGGCATTTGTTTGAGGCAGAACACAATCCAGGCAGGCAATTACACAAATGTCTGCCTCAGCCTGTAGAGAAGGCTCCAGTCCATGCTTTCTTGTCTAGATGGAGAAAGGCAGGACCAGAGAGGGTCAGAGCCAGCCCCCATGTCATACAGCTAGTCAGAGGCAGGGCTGGGACCACATTAGACCGGGGGCTACTCTTCCCTAGCTGTGTGACCCTGCGCAAATGATACCACCTCTCAGAGCCTCTCTTCTCCCGTCTGTATTTGGGGTGACATCTCCCTTACAGGGCTGTCTGAGGATGAAAGGTGACCACTGTGAAGTACCCGGCACACAGCTGAACACACAGCAGGTGTGTGGTTGTGGCAGCAGTTACTGGTCCGAGGGGCCATGGCCACGTCCAGGGCCAGTGAGGGGCGGGTAAGGATCCAAGGGCAGCGAAGTCTCAGAACGATCATGGCTGGCCCAGAGGCAGGAGGGATGCGCCAGCCACACTTGCTTGGTCTTCAGTCCCTACCAAGTCCCACAAGGTTGTGTCAAAGAGTCCAACTTTGGTCAGGCTAGGGGCGTAGAGATGAGGGTCAAGGTGAGCTCTGAGATGCCCCCAGGGCTTCAGGGGAGCACTGATGAGGGGGCATCTGAAGCAGGATCCTGGGTGGGGCCAAAAGAGGTGAAGTGCTGGGAGTTTGAGGGTCTGGGTATGAATCCCAGCATTTCCAGTCACGATGATGACCCTGCCTTGCCTCTCTGAGCCTCAGTTTCCTCTTCTGCAAAATGGGGATATGAGAAGCAAGGAAGACCAAGACTTGACCCTGTGAAAGGTCACTGACAACCCTGTGGGGGAGCCATCTGGGGAAGAGTGGGAGTGGAGGCTCTGAGAGGGGGTGTGGGGCGGCAATTCTGGGAGGAGAGCAGGGTCTGTGGCGACAAAGTCGGGACCAGGAGGAGCCGCAGGGCACTTTGTTCTGAGGGGCGCAGCAGTCAAGGGACAGCAGACGACTCACGGTGCTCATGGCTGCCTGGAGCCTCCAGGCCGGCGCAGGAGAAGCATGCTGGGTGTGGAGCGGGTAGAAGGGGCAGCCGGGCAGCTTCCTGAGGCGCGAGGGTGGGTGGGACCAGGGCACAGGATGCAGGAGATGGGAGGGGTGTGAGTCCAGGGGTGGCAGGCAACATGGGGTGGTGAAATGGGGTGGGTGGCAGCCCTTCTTGCTCCAGGCCCTCCCAGAGGTCCCCTGAGCAAGCCCACAATCCGTAGTGTTCCTACCTACCCCCACAGCCAGAGCCAAGCCCGGCACGTGGCCGGGGCCCCGAAAGAACTCTGACTGCACACCCATGAACGCTGCCACCTCTTGGCACTCAGGGCTGCTGCTCGAGGCGGCACAGGGTCCCTGTCCCCACCCAGGCCTCCCCTGACCCTCTGAGAAGACTTCCGCAGCACAAGAGCACGCCGTGGCAAATGAGCGGGAGGCTCTGAGAGCTCCACAAGCCGTGGGCACGGGCAGGCCCTTGGGCACCTCCAGTCTGCCTGTGTCTGCCCTGCACCAGCACAGAATAACAAGCCGCCAGGCCCGTCCTGGGGCCATGCTCTCTTCGGATGGTCAACCACACCTCCCGGTGCTGACGCCCTCCTGCGGTCCTCGCGCACTGGGCCCCGGTCCTGGCCACATGACTGGCCTTGACCAATGGGACACCCGTAACTGTGCAGCAAGGGGAGGCTGCAGGAGCGTGTGCACACCACGACTCAAGCACCAGGAGAAGCCCGGCTGGCCTGCTAGAGGGTCCACATGGAGAACTAGACACTCCCCCGCGAACACCAGGCAGCGCTGGTCAAGGGCCAGATGCGAGGTTACCTCAGAGTACTGGCCCCATCAAGAACCACGAATAGCCCCCACGCGAGCCCAGCAAAACGGCCTGGCTGAGTCCAGCCCAAACTGCAGAACTGTAAGCAGGCAGATGACTGGTGTCATAAGCGGCCGAGTTTGGGGACAGTTTGTCATGCAGCAGTAGCTGACTGCTGCAACAGGCACCGCCGTAAGTAGTATGTCCTCTCTGCCGCTAATGAACCACTGTGACAGACGGGAAAAGCAGAGACCGGGGCGGGGAGGGACTTGCTCAGCGTCACACGGCCGGTCACCAGTTCAAAGAGGATTCCAGAGCCGGGTGGGCAGCTGCCATGTAGGCTCTGCCTGAGACAGTGAGTGCGGGTCAGGCAAGCAGGTGGCACGTGGCAGGGTAGTGAAAATGGTGCTCTACCCTTCTTTTTTTTTTTAGTTCTACCAGTTTATTGCTACCGACCCACCTCCCTCCACCCTCGTGCACATGTGCTCAGTCATGTAACCCCACGGACTGCAGGCCGCCAGGCTCCTCTGTCCGTGGACTTTTCCAGGCAAGAATACTGGAGTGGGTTGCCATTTCCTTCTCCCGCTCTGCCCTTCTTGAGGGGCGGGGCCCTTGGGGTCCAGACAGGGTCTGTGGCCTGGACGAGAGGCAGGAAGTGACAGGGAGCGCCAGGGAGGTGGGCTGACAACAGCCGTGCAGCGGAGGGCGCAAGGTGCCCCTACCCTCTAGCTTCCCACAGACGAAACCACTCAAGCAGCCCCGGGAGAAAACCCCAGTGGTTAGTCAAGCAGCTCCCGTCTCAGAAGCTGAGAGGATGGGTTAGTTCAGAGCATGGAGCAGAGAGGCTCCAGGTCCGCTCGGCACTGACCTGGGTCAGAGGGGCCGAAGCACCTCCAAGTCTCTTCCGGGATCAGGTTGAGGAGGGTGGGAGCGGTTCCTCGGGGCTGGAACAAAACATGTGCAGCGTCTATAAGGCTGAGGTCCAAGGCCCTGAGCTGTGCTTGCCTAGACTGGATTGCACACTGGGGTCATGTGCCAGTCTCCCAGGACTCCTGGCCTGAGCCTTCAAGGTATCCTTTGTAAAAACAGGACCAGCTACCCATTTCAGAGGTCACGGCTGGGTCTCATGTAGGTCTGGGAGCTACAAATCCCTGGGGCTTGCGAAAAGAGGCAAGAGGGCGTGAGCAGCTACTACACAAGCTGCTACTGGTGTCTTTCAGAGGCACAAGCAGAGCTTTTGGAAGCAGCTGGGCAACTGAGCTGAAAGTAGAAGCTATTGATTTTGTGGCCTTGCTGTTGGTGGCGGGGGGGGGCGGTACGGTGCAAAGCTTGCAGCAGTGAACTCCAGTCCCAGTGGCTGTCACCCACTGTGGCAGAGAAGCCAGGTGGTGATCTGGTGAATCCCAAGCATCCTGCTCATGCCGCCCTCAGAGGGCAGGCCACTGCATGTCCCTTCTTATGTATACTCAAGGCTTTTTCAGTTTTGACAGTTCTTGTGTCTGTTATCACACACAGCAACATAAAGGTGTTTTCTTCCTTTCTAAAGCCTTGTTGGGGGCAGGCATGCCAGAACCCCACACTGCAGGAGTCAGACTCATCTCGAGGCCCAGTGACGGCTCACAGCAGGTACTGCTGCTGCCAAGGCCTGGTCACTAAGTTGTGTCTGACTCTTCTCGACCCTACGTGCTGTAGCCCACCAGGCGCCTCTGTCCACGGAGTACTCCAGTACTCGACAGGAACACTGGAATGGTTGCCATTTCCTACTCCAGAGGATTTTTCTGACCCAGGGATCGAACTCGTGTCTCCTGCTTGGTAGGTGGATTCTTTATAACCGAGCCCCCTGGGAAGTGGGACAGCAGGTACATGGGTGTTCAAACGCATGTTTATTAGGTTATAATGGAAACAAAACCAAAAAGAGCTACTTCTCCCCACTGTGTAAGAACTGTAAGTACTTTTCCCTTTTGGACCATCTGGTCATTGGCTCAAAGCCTCTTTCAGCTCTGCACCCTCCCTGCTGCCCTCGAAGCCCCTGCGCACCTCCCTAGCTCTGTCTCCCCGCCTGCACCCACTCCGGGTACAACTGCCTTGGATGTTCCTCCAACACATCCAGCTCACCAGGCCCAGGGCCTCTGCCCCACCCCTGCCACACCAAACACCCACCCATGGTAACCTTTGCATATTGTTCAAGCCTCTGTTTGCATCTCTGCCACCTCCTCAGAGGGGGCCCCCTTCTCCTCCTTCACACGTATCTGAAATGTTCTTGTCTGTTCGGTGTTTACCTGCTTGCCATGTGCCTCTCCCTGAGGCCACGAGCAAACCTGTCTTGGTCACTGCCTTGCCCCCAACACCCAGCCCAAGCACACAGCAGCGCGCAGGAGCTGGGTGCAGACTGACTCAACTCCCACTACAGACAGCAAAGGACAAGAGGAAGTCACCAGCCACCGCGAAACCAAGCAAGGAGTTGTCTAAGGAGCGAGAAGGTGCAGCTCCTGGCTGAGCAGCGAAGGTCCTTACAGCAAGGAGGCTGAGAGCAGGAGAGGCGGGTGCTCCCAGGAGCTACCTGTGGCCCTGGGCTGTGGCGTTCATGTGGTCCCGGATGCTGATGGCCTGTTTGAGGAGACCCTCCACGCTGCGGAAGTAGACACTGCTATCAACAAGGTTCTTCACGGCACTGAAACGGGAGGGGGGACCCAGTCAATGGCAGCAGACCAGACCAGTGGATACCCGCACTGGCCCAGCGGTTTGTCCAGCTGCTGGGGGATTCCATGGGCCTCCCTGAGGGCTCACTGTGTGCTTAAAGTTTAGATTTCCCTACGGACCAGGACACTGGATAGCAAGATACAACTTTTGCTTGATGGCTGCTAGACCATTCAATGCTTTGAAGGAGGTATAAGCATTCAAAGATGACCTAAAAAATAGCATGCTTTGGGCTTCCCTGGTGGTACAGTGGATAGGAATCTGCCTGCCAATGCAGGGGACATGGATTTGATGTCTGGTCCAAGAAGATTCCACATGCCTCGGAGCAACTAAGCCTGTGCACCACAACTGCTTGAAGAGGCACTCTAGGGCCTGTGTGCTATAACTCCTGAAGCCCATGCACCCTAGAGCCTGTGCTCTGCAACGAGAGAAGCCACCACCATGAGAAGCCTGCGCACCACAACTAGAGAGCAGCCCCCACTCTTCGCTACTAGAGAAAGCCCGAATGCATAGCAAAGACCTTGTGTAACTAAAAATAAAATCAGTTCAGTCCAGTTGTTCAGTCATGTCCGACTCTTTGTGACCCCATGGACTGTAGCACGCCAGGCTTCCCTGTCCATCACCAACTCCCAGAGCTTGCTCAAACTCATGTTCATTGAGTTGGTGATGCCATCCAACCATCTCATCCTCTGTCGTCCCCTTCTCCTCCTGCCTTCAATCTTTCCCAGCATCAAGGTCAGGTCACTTCCAATGAGTCAGTTCTTAGCATCAGGTGGCCAAAGTTTTGGAGCCTCAGCTTCACCATCAGTCCTTCCAATGAATATTCAGGACTGATTTCCTTTAGAAATCCAAGGGACTCTCAAGAGTCTTCTCCAACACCACAGTTCAAAAGCATAAATTCTTCTGCACTCAGCTTTCATTTTTAAAAATATCATGCTTTCCTTTTAGGTAACCTATTCCTCCCCCTGAAGGAAGCTTGTCAGCTGGACTGTGAAAAATTCTGAAAGTGAGTTTAGACTCAGCACCATTAGAGAGGCACTACTGCAAAGCTGTGCTAAGCTCTGGTGTTGCTGCCACATGGATGAATGTCTAATAAAAATGTTGTTTCCAACAGCACTACAGGAAAATATTCATTAAACCTCTTGGGGCACTGCTAATGCCAGAAAGTTGCCTGGGCAATGACACCTACAGTAAAAATAAAAGGGTCATTTTCAAGTCCTATTAAAGACAAAGAAGTCACTCCCATTTATTATCAGTCAAGGACATGCTTGAAAATGGCCATGAGATCAATGGAGGGGAGCGCTGGCTGAAACCCAGACTGTCCATTTGCTCATCTGACACCACCAAATGCAGTCAGCTTTCCTAGTATCTGTCCACTTCGATAAAAAGCTGTCTAAAACAAGTTCTCAACTGGCCCAACCAACAGACCATATAGTTTCTCCCAGTTTCACACCAACCATTAACACTGCATAAGGCATTTTAAACAACTAAAAGGGCCTTTTCATGTACATAGGAAACAGTCTTTCAGCATTAGAGAAATTTACATTTCACTAAAGAGAAGTGCTCAGAATTCAGAGTAGACAGGCCCCCTGCCTACCACAAGGCAGTCCCATGGAACATTCTGGAACATGATGGACACATTCTTTATCCACTGAGATGGCTGTTAAGCACTTGAAATGTGGCTCGTGAGACTGAGGAACTGAATCTTTCATTTTATTTCAATTCATTAAAATGTAAGTGTGAACAGCCAACGAGGGTCCAACCTCCTGCAATGGACAGAGCAGTTAGAGGAACTGGGAGAAAATACAGACTTTGATCTGTTCTTCCTTAAACATGGGCCTTAAAAAAAAAAAAATGTTTTTATTTGGCTGCGCTAGGTCTTAAATTGTGGCACACAGTATCTTTAGTTGCAGCATCCAAATTCTTAGTTGCAACAGATGAAATCTAGTTCCCGGATCAGGGATCAAACCCAGGCCTGCTGCATTGGGAGCTTGAATTCTTAGCCACTAGACCACCAGGGAAGTCCCAAACCTAGGCTGAAAGGTTC